AAATGTCTTGCAATTTACTCAAACATGCTTCCTGTTGAAGTCAGTATAAGTTTTTGTTTGGAATAAACTTGCATCTTTGTAGTAGTTTCCTGCAGGGCTTAGAGATTTCTTTCATAAAATGCTTGAAATTTGGTTCTCAATATCTTTCATTACACTTATTCCATGTATTAGTTTACTTATTAAATTAGCATCAGTTTGGCAAATTTATAAATAGTTTACAAAAGTGAACTAGTAGTGAGTCACACGAAATAAATGGATAATAAGAGAAATTGGTGCAGGTGATCACAAAACTTTGTCTATCTTGGCATTTTGGTGCCAAACCTTTAAATCGTAGCAATAACTGTCGCAAACATTTGCATTTTTGACAACATTGGTTCTTTTGGATAGATTCCGTCCAAAAGGACAATTAGTTTTGTGCCTGAAATGCACTATCTTTTAAGGATATTCTTAGTAACAATAATGTCCCCAACTAATTTTTCGTCTTATTTAAGTCTCACTTATTAGTATTTTTAAAAAAAAATACAAGTTTATTATTGTTTTCAAATAATGCAGTTAGGATATTACATAAGAAATGGAGTTAACTTCCCTATAAAAAATTTCATTGTTTATGTGATCTTTTTTTTTTTTTTTTTTTTTTTTTTTTTTTAAAAAATTTTTTTTTTTTTTTTGTTATTTTTGTTAGAAATTTTATATTTCTTTAGTTACAAGTACTGATCATATGATAATTTCATCCTTTATGACTGGGAATGAAAGAAAATGCATAGAAAAGTTTGTAATATGATAACATGTAACTCGAGGGGCTCAAATTTGGAGAATCTGAAGTTAGATTCTTAATAAAGTGCATGATGACTTGTGTGCAAGGAGATAAAGAATCTGTAATTAATAAGTTTTGCATCTTGTGCAGATTATTTCCCTCTTAGGCTTTTCTTCAAGATAGCATGCTGAATTTCATGAGCTTTCGTTCGGATAAGGCTAGAGGAAGATTTTGGTTCCAACGATGGAGGTTTCGTAAAAAGGATCGGAGGCATTCCACTGGTTACAGGGTCGAAATTCACAGTATTGGTGGTCAACTTGTGCATCATACTTTCAAACAGTTCATTTAAAAGTTTAAATACTCGAAATGTTGACCATATTTAGTTCATGTTTGGCCTTATTTTTTAGAACTCATTTTTTTTTCTCAAATTCATTTTCAATAACACATTTTATGAGATCCGCAACTTTTATCAACTTTTTAATCGTATATTTTATCAACATTTATCAAAATTTACTAAAAAAACTAATTATTATCCAAATCGGAGAAGGGCTTATTTTATTAAATTTAATTTTCAATTGCGTCTTTATTTGTGGACCGAAACCATATTTTGTAATCAAAGATTTGACACGTGCGCCATTTTTATCTTAAACTCAAATACGAGTCATATAAATTTAATTCCACGCTTTGCAGATCTTCAAAAACCCTAGCTGTTGTACAGGGAAAGATGTCTTTAATTTTTGGTAATTTTATATAAGCTAGCATTGCCTAGCATCCCTTCAACGAGCTCAAAAATTTTAAGATGCCTACTCAATCTTGAAAAAAAAAAAAAATGTAATTTTCAAAATATTCAACGCTCGAATAAATTATCCATTGGAAGATCACTATAGTCGGAGTAGGCATATTTGAGGCAAAACCTGATCTTCGGTACAAAAAAAAGAAAAGAAGGTCCAATTTGCTATATGGAACTTACAATTTACGGAGCAAGTTCCAAGGACGGAGCTAGATGTTTGATTTTGTGGGGTCAAAAATTGAAAACAACGTCTAAACTTGATATTGATAATAATTTCTTTTAAACAAACAACATATATCTCCGCAAATCACAATCACCTATCATCGAAAATATACAAATGGAGGTTAAAACGCATTGTCTAATCTCATAAAACATCAAAATTTCTATTGTGGACAGTGGACAAGCTTAAGGGAAAAATGAGGTCACGACCATAGAACTTCGAAACTCATTTTTAATATCAAGATAACTGAGGCACAAACTAGAAACTAGAGATTAAGGGACAACTAGTCAGGGTACATATTAACATATATAATATATTTTTCAAGTTTCAACAAGTAGAAATACACTTGCATATCTCAAATTTAAAAATGAAAAGCAACTAATTAAAGGAAAATGTCCAAATTAACAAGAAAAACTAAAGCTACATCCAAATCCAATTCATAGAGTTTGCTAACCTAGATAGAACTTCTAAGAAAAACAAATGTCAAACAAGTAGATGGTAGATTTGTTATCTAGATGGAAGAAAAATCACAAAATTAGTACAAGAAAAGAAAATCCCAAAATATGAATTACGATTTGGCTATCTCTTTGTGTCGGTCAATTCTTCATTTTCTTCTCTCTGTGGGGCTTTTGGGCAATGGACGGTTGTTCAAGACTCTAAATACATATGAAATAATGAAAAGCAAAGTTTTGGAAATGGACAATGGGCTTGTGCGGGCTTGCCAATGGGCAAAGTTGTGGTTTTACAGATTTTTTTTTTTTTTTTAATTTTTGTAATGTCAATTGACTCCACATGACCCCATAAAGAAACAATACAACTCATAAAGCTTTTTAAACTAAGAGTTTTGAGTGTCATAGGTTAAAAAGTGAAATCAACTACGCCAATCTTTATGAAAGAATTCATGATGTTTCAAAGGGTTGGACAAAAATCTTGAACATAATTGGACATGAATCGAATCGAATCGAACCGAACTGAATTGAATTGTGCAATTTCGTCTCAAGTTAAATACCTAAATGGGTAATTGAATCGAGAGTCGATGTGTTTGATTTAGTTCTCAGTTTTAAATTAAGAACTGAATAATCGAATCTTCATAATTTTTTTAATTTTTTAAATCTTAGATAAGTCAAATTATTTATTTTTTTAAATAAATTTGCTAACTAACTAGTCTAAACCTAAAATATAAATTTTCCATTTCTAATTTTTAATCAAGCCCAACTTAATCAAATTAACCTAACAAAACTTTTATTTTACCGTTTATAACGTACTAGAGAAATCGAATTGGAAGCCCGGTTGCACCTCTCTTCATTATTGTGAACTCGCTATCTTTCTATTCTTGTGATTTTAACAATTAAATATATGAAGAGCTCAACAAAGAGAAACGCACAAGATATCACAAGATTGAACGACATTATTTTGTAAGAATTAAGATTGAACATGTCATAGTTGAATTAATGTAACATTGCTGTAAATATAAAAAAATAATTATTATACAGAATCTCGGAACTGAATGGAACCGAACCAAATCGAATGGAACGGAACCCGAACTTTTCATAATTAATTTTGAACCCGACGATTCTATTTATTAAATATCCGAAAATTCAGATTCGATTAGAAACGAACTGAATTAGACCATATCTGGCCCTACTGTTTCAAAACAGGAACAAGTAAATCTCTCTAGTCTATAGTAAAGAAGAGTATGGTGTTCTACTGGTAAACCGACATTTTGGCCAGACATGATTTTGGCATAAAATTTTTGCACATTCCACTTTGCTCCTTCAAAAGCAAAATGAAAGCTCATAATATTGACGACCAGTAAAATGGTATCATAAACTTACACATTGATATCATAGATAAAATACACACACACATACTACAAGGATGGATAGCTGGTCAATCTTCTTGCCAAATGATTCTGTTTATAGATAATCGTGAACTTCAAATGTTCATATGAGACACTTGACAATCAAAAGCATAAAGTAGGGAACGGAACATTACATAAAAATGGTAATACAATGCATAAGACTACTTTCATATATGGATTAATGCATAAGACCACGTTTTAAAAGCGTCTACACATCTAGTTATGCATAAACTAAAGCATCTCTAACTTTCATGTTTTTCTTTCTAGTGTCTAAGAAAAGGAGATGTGACTCAGTTAGAGACTCTAGAGTCCTCTGAAGAATGATCTCAAATTCTCGATCCATCAAATTCATGTTGTGTTTTAGTGTATACATATACTAATTGAGATAAGATGCTTTGTAACAATCCGTTGTAGTCTAGTTGGTTAGGATACTCGGCTCTCACCCGAGAGACCCGGGTTCAAGTCCCGGCAACGGAATTTCCTTTTTCATTTTTTCATCTTTGTAAAAATCGCTGGTATCCGATTAAATCCAAATTCTATTCATTTTTTCACCAATTATTTATGGGTTCATCCCGTTCTTGTCAGCCCACAGGCCCCACACCATATCCACTGATGTTCGCCTCACCCCATTTTTTGGTGGCAAAGAATCTTATAGCAGCTCAAATTTATCTGCTTCAGCACCAGCTTCTGCAGTGTCAAGTGAGAATTAGTTGCAGTAATTTGCTGCACACACCCACACGATGAGAGTGTAGACGCTTTTCTTATAGTTTTCAATTTCATATATGCACAATTAAGTTTTTGGATGGTGGTATATCTTGTGCTTAATCTTTTTCTTTTCGTTTTGTTTTCTGTTTACTTTTTTCTGGAGTTGTTATGATTAAGAATAAACCACCATTTTTAATTATTTTTTCCCCCTGTTTTATGTTCTTGATAGTATTTATTTATTCTGAATTAAATAACAAGGGGTGTGATAAAGAAATAATTATTCAGTTGAAATGCGGAAGAAGTAAAAGAAAATTATGGGCTATAGAGATTTGGGTATAATCTTAGGGTAAAGGTTGTGTGTGCCTGTACCAGACTTCATTAATCTGTCTGAAATAGATGAAAATACAAGATATGTCATTTTGTTGGTCTTGTTTGAGTGCTTTCACGGAAAAAAGGTAGGAAAGTCAATAGCAAATGCAATACCCTTTGGTAAGGAGAAGAATGTGGGGACGGATGGTTTCATTCTTATTTTGTGTTTCTATACCGGTTAGAAATATTGGCACTAGTCAGTTGTGTTGAATATTTATTCAATCTCACTGTTTTAATATTTATGAATGTGTTGTGCAATAGCCAGAATTTTGGATTGAACTGATTTATTGGGAGACTGCTTGGGGTAGTTTTAATTTCTTCAGTTTTTGTTTTACACGGTAACAAGTTAAGAAAGATTGGCGCAATGTAAATTTATTTTGTTCTGTTCGAGATTTCTTTTCTCCTTATGAGAATATCAAAAGATCCTACTGAGGTCACAACCAAGCAAATAAGTGCCAATTTGAGCTTCGCATGAGAAAGATTGAGACTGACCCTGTGCAAACAAGACTTGGCATCTGCTGCCCTAGATTTGGTGCAGCTGCTACTCTTATTAGGACAGGCCAATGAACTGTAATCCATGACTCAACACTCTTCCAGCAATTGTTTCCCACTGTTATCAGAGTTTAAGGCCGGTCATTGTCCTGTTTGCATATTTGTTTTAGCTTCCCTCTCTATGAATTTTTATCACTGTTTATTAACTATTTGATTCACATGATTAAACCTGTAGAAGGATTGTATAAACTTATACTTGCGCATGGTCTGTTTTTTGAACTTCATTTGATCCTTTTCTATCTCCATATTTGTCATTCTTTCTATATTGGTTTTCCCACGTTTTAGAATCTGAAAGTCTTTTGCTCAACTGCCCCTTGGTTAGTCCTCTTTCTATCTTCCACTTTTACATGTTTCTGTAAATTTTCATTTACTAGATGTTGACCCTCTTTTCTATTTTTTTTTTTTACTTTTATTTTTTATTTATTTTTATTTTTTTTGGTAAACTTATTTCTCCATTATTCATCAATCGCAAAAATAAAGTGTGTCGAAGACGGCAAGCATCATTTTTTGAATGCATATATATTGTCACGCGTTGGAGATTACAGTTTAAAAGCAATGTGTTCCTGATTTCAGAAAATGGAAGATGGTTGTCTGCAATCCCAGTTTGGCAATACCTTTTTGTTGAAGAATGAATGGAGGATATCTCCAAAATTTGATCTTGTAAAATGCAATAGACAGCAAGGTCTCAGTTTGGTTGATTTTTTGAAGGTACCATTTGTTCCCCCCCATTCTTTGAGTACGCTAATTTCTTGAAGCTCTAAGATTAAATAGTGGCCAGCTATGTTCACACCAAATTTTTGCATGAGTGCACAATATTAATTGCCATATTTTAATTGCATGAATATTACATTCTTATTTTTAACCTTCCATTAATTAGCACAACTTATTCTGGATGACCTTTTTTGTCCAAATATTATGTTAAGAGAAGGTAAAAGACTTAGTTGCCTCTCATATTTTTATATAAGAAATTAAAACAAATATGTAAGTGCGTCTAAATAACTGTTCCTTATATTGAAGCATGCTAACATTACAAAAACTATTTGTCAGCATGAGTAATATTCCGAGGTTAAATGTAGTTTTTAAGTCTGTAAACATGGGTCTGAATGACTCTGTAGACACCAAATTTAAGGTTTCTGAATTGTAGATTTTTCTCCTCTGTTCTATTTTGAAGAATTTCAATCTTTCAAATCCACTTCGAGTACACTTATCTTCTGCTACAGTTGGTTTCTTTTGTGCTTCATATGCCAATATTTAGGCTCCTGACTCAAGTTGACTTATATGGCTGATTAGATTTTGAGATTTATGTCTAGTATAGTCTCGATAAAATATTGATTCTTAATAGTTGATAGTGCTAGAGATGCCTGGAGAGTGTATTTCAGAAATTATGGATGTAGTTCGTTTCTCGACTTGCAGCACGGTTTCAGTAATTTGGCAGTTCAACTGAAGTTTGAAAGTCCATCAAGTCACTTGATTCAGTTCCGATCACTGGTTATCAGATGCAGTGCTGGCCCTAGCCCAAGGCAAGTGAGGCCACTGCCTTGGTCCTCATATTGTAGGGGACCTCATCTCTTTAAAAAAAAAAAATAATAAATAAATAAATAATTGGCACATAAAAAGCAAAGAAGAGGTTCAAGGCAATACTTGCCCAGTTTGTAGGTATGAGATGCCTATAGATGATGTAGAATACGAGAAGAGGAAGACTGAGAGGAGTGGTGCAGGAATTACTTCTCGCTTTGCTGACGATCTTCAGGCGAGGTACAATTTTGAACTTCTGCCTTGAAAAGGTGTATGTATTAGTCTGGAGAATATGGCTATAGTGGGAATCTTTACCTTTTCAGTTATCATGTCAATTTCCTTTTTGTATTGTGAAATGATGAGATAACAAAACTTGTAGATCAATATTACATTTAAGATTATGTGAATTTGTCATTGTGTAAACTCTATTTTGCAACTCCATGTGTAATGGTTCAGTGAAAAATTCAGAGATGAATGGAAGTTTTACAGTTTTTGGGACATCCTGAGTTTCTGGTCACTTCACTATTATATTCTTGATGAATAAATCTACATTTTTTCTCTCCTCTTGATTTTATTTGGTTGGGTAAGTAAGAATCTGTCCAGAAATAATTTGTGTAATGCAGACTTTCTGATATCTTCTTGAATATTTGTCCAGAATCTCTCCTTTTTGACTTTAAATATTTACATATTGTTAGACTTACAAAATAAATTTTGTATTGAGGGGCCCCATAATAATTAAATGCCTAGGGCCTCTAAATTCTCAGGGTAGGCCCTGACCAGATGCAATCATCCTCAAAATTCAGATTTTCCTCGCCAAAGGCCAAGAGAAGAGGTGCCCCTCCTTCAAAAAGAGGTTTGGTGGTTCAAAGGCTAATTCCTGTTGCATACAAGGTATTTGATGCAAGAGTAAAATTGATTAACAATCTCAAGAAGCTCTTGAAAGTGAGTCCGCTTCATGCTTGCTAGTAAATCTCTGCCCGATTTTATGTTACTTATTGACTCATGAGAGCTGCAGAAACTTGGAAAAATTGCTTGTCTTGATGTTTAATGGGACCGTGCTCAATAATTTTTTTATAATAACATATCCAGCAAGTAAAATCCATGGCTTATTTTTAACGATTCCACTGTGATATGGCGATAATGGGATGTCAGAGGTTGTTGTGAATCACTGTTATTAGATATATAACATGGTGAATCTGTGTGACTATTACGGTATATTTGATAGGAGAATTGCTAGGGCTCAATAATACTAAGAAAGAAACTTTTTCATTATACAATAACAAACATGCACTTGGTGTCTTTGGTTCCTCCCAATTCTTCTTCTAAATATTTTGATCTCTAATGTTGCAACACTTGCAGGTTGGTTATGAAGTTCATGTTGAAACTGTTGGGGCATCCTTTCAAGTCTTGTAGAGAATCAGGCGCTTCAATTCGTTAAGTATTTCATGAATGGGGGGACGCAGCTGTTGAAGACCTATTGGTACCAGTTGAGGCCTGCCACCTGTATGAGCGTCTGGGGAAACGTATACGTCACGACTCACGAGGAGAGATTTTCTATCCCAAGAATTCCTGCAGTAGGGGAGCTCTGCATTCAAGCAGGAGTTGACTTGCCTGAATATTCTACAAAAAGAAGACGAAAACCAATCATATGCATTGGAAAAAAGGAATTTGCTGATGCAGATGAATGTGAATTACCAGATCCTGACCCAGATACTTCAAAGCCATCAATATTAGCTCAAATACCTGACACTGAAATTTTACCCCATGTAGCAAAGTAGAAACGGTGTTTCTTGTTGAGGAAACTTCAAGCTTGGGAAGAAATGAGGGGTGGAGCCACCAGGATGATGAAGATGTATGCAATTGAAGCCTGTGGATATTGTCCTGAATAGCACGTGAGCCCCAGCGGACACAAAGCGCAGAACTGTGGGGCCCATAAGCATCAGCAGCGCTATGGGTAACATCAATGGCAGGCAGCAGTTCTTGGTGACTTGATTCCACCCGGATATGTTTGGCATGTTCCTGATATCAACAAGCCACTGCAAAGGGAGCTCAGGAAGTTCTATGGACAGGCCCCTGCTGTCGTAGAAATATGTGTGCATGCCTGTGCTGGTGTTCCCAAGCAGTACAAACCAACAATGAGGTTGGATGTGGCGATTCCTACAAATATTAGAGAAGTTTTTGGGTTTAAAGGCGTTTCTTCTTCTTCTTCTTCTTCATCTTTCCCCTTTTGCTGATTAGGTGTTTTGGGTGTAGTAATCTCCATTTTATTGTATTCATCTCATAAGGTGCCATAGTCGGTTTGAATATGATTATACTGTTGTACTTATCATCATGTATCAAAAAACCATTTCAAGTGAAAGTGCTGTTTGATAGAAGAAATGATATGGTTTTCCAGGTAACAATCCTTGGCAATGGCAGCTTCTACATTCTCTTGGTTAATATGGACCAATAACAGAGCCCAGACCCATTTCAGGCCGAATACATTCTCTTGTTTTTTTTTAGTCCCTGAACTTATAATTCTTTTTCATCTAAGGCACTCTGTCTTGTTTTCTTGAGTTAATAGTGACTGTCAAATGGGGAAACACGGTGGTGCATTAGTTTTATCGTACAGTTAAGTAATAAAATGTATTATTGGACAAATCATGCTCCTTGGTTGCAATAGAACTGTCCATGTCAATGCATGGGAGTGTATTGTCATGGACTTTGGTCGAGATCTTCTCAACTTCCTATTTTTCGTCTCCATTTTTCTGTTACCTTCAATGAAAGAGGGAAGGATTAACATTGATTGTGGGCACTTTCTTCCTGAGAAGGCTTTACCACGCAAGGTAGAGTCAAAAGTACTCAACGATATTAAAGACAGAAAAATATTAAAATCCAAGCATAGCGAGACAAGATGCATTGGTATCGCTAACCCGAGGAATTACTATTTTGTTTTATGGCTTTTCTTTGATCTCAATTGATTGAGAATAAACTAACTATAATTCATATATTAGGAGATTTTCTTTTTAATTATTAAAACAAAACAATATATTTCAGGAATAATTTTCATACGGAAGAATATATGCAGTTTCTTAATATGATACCTTTCTATATTTTCGACTTTCAAATATAAATCTCAGAAGAGTGGAGAATCATCGAAAAAGGGAAAAAGGAATTTTAACTAACTTTCTGGTTGAATTGCCATAAAAGTGAAGAGATAAATGCTGCACTTTAGGAGAGTAAAGAAGGATGACATAAATAAAATTTACATTGTGCCAAATTTTACAAAGCTATGAAGGAAGGAAAGTCAACTACTACTTTTTATCTTTGTCTTTCTTTAGTTAGGTTCTATTGCACCATCCACGACTAGGTGAGTCTAGGCCTTTAATTTATTATTCGGTATAGAAATCTCGAATCTAGTCGTTTGATACATCTCGCCCTTTGATAGATAATGTTCGATTCTCGATCTCACTCGATGAAAAACTTTAGATTTTCTGCATGACATCGCTCAAGTCGAGTTTGTGTTAAGACATTATCTTTAACTTGAGTTTCAACCGTCAAATTCCTCAAGACTCCAACCTCAACCTAGAAAAATTACTTCAAGAGTTCGCCCTTGTTTAGTTTGACTAAAAAATAAAATAAGATTTTTAGTAAATTTAATATAAGTTGATAAAATATATAATTTGAAAAATAGATAAAATAAGATGTGTAATTAAAATAAATTTGAAAAAAATGTATTTTAAAAAGTTGGGACTAAACAAGGATGGAACATTCTTTATAGATGTATGTAAATTTAATATTAAATTCATCTCATTAAGGACAACGTCGATGTATAATCATAATCACTTATACCATACTTGTGCATTTACAAATGCCTTCAATCAATATACGAATTCTCAAATACACAATCATAATCACTTATGACTTTGTTGAATTTTGTTGAAAAACTTAATTATAGCAAATAATTCAACTTGTGTCATAAAGAATGATGAACGATGCACTAACTTATCATCATTGAATTTCTCAACTAAAACCACTCCCATTTTGTTTAAAATAATGTTATTTATTACTTATTCATAATCAGTAATGAGAAATTTTGCTACTTTAATTGTTTTATAATCTTAAATATAATATTCAAAATGTCAAATTAACTGATATCACGAAAAATGATCTACTAAACAATGTTAGTTAGTTAGTCAAAATAAGTAACCCTTACACGACACGTTAACTAACTGGTGGATAAATTTATGATGGATTCTACGGAATAAATTGGGTTTGTTTAATTGACCATTCACAAGTTAAGAAACGATGTTTAGTAGATTATTTCCTCGTGCATGTATGCATGCACATATATATGGTTTATGTAATGTATGTATATGTTTATCTTTTCTATTTTCGAAGCATTGAACTGCAGGCGATTCAATTTATTTTCGAGAATTTTTTATTGAATAATGCTATATAGCACTATGGATACGATTAGTCTATGTGTGTTTTAAATGATAAATCATTTTCAAATGAGGTTCATGTCTTTACTTTTAAAATGATATAATTCAATTAATGACACTTAAACCATTGTTTAACGTTAAGCCCTTGTTTGAGCCCTATTTTGTGGGAGGAAATGTATCTTTAAATAGTATTTTATTATTATTATTATTATTA